CATGACAACGTCGTGGCATCGATGCGATCACACCACGTGGAGTGCGTCCTAGGTGTATCAGATCGTCGAGCTTAACGTTTGGTGTATGGTGTAGCGAGATACACCACGCTGCTGAGGACGCGCTTCCATTTCCAACCACGCGAGGCTTAGCCCTATAGTTCACCTCAATAGGTGTCCATCGGCCTTCAGGTGGCGTTCGGGTGACGTATGCCTTGAGCAAAATGAGAACAACTAAATATCAATGTTCCGCATTCCAAAAACTTTCTGTGGCGGATCGGGATTCTTTGCTGATCGGGGCATCAGGCGAAGGATTACCAAACCAAATTTTCCTGTCGAATCTGCAAGAACCATCACCACATCTTGGTTTGCTTCAAGTCAGAAAATAATAACACTGTAACGGTCACATCGGTTGCTGGGGCAACCATCCTACAATAGCGGCGCTGGTGGTGTAGTGGTAAGCGTGATTACTTCTCATCCCAGCAGATTTGAGTTCAATCCCAATCGGCGCCGCCGGAATGTTCTGAGGCGTAACATCTCTGATCACGCCTTCCTTCGGAAAGTAAAGCCGTTGGTCCCCGGTTGATGGGTCGATAGGTAGAGTCCAGATGTGGGAGCGCCTCCCTGGCGTCGGTAGCATAGGTGCTCAGCACAGGAATCAAGATCGACGGAAAATATATCAAGGAAAAAAACATTATAAAAACATTATTTATAAGGCAAGCAACATGCTAGGGTTTATTAAAAGGTACACGGCGAATGAGAACAACCCAAATTTGAGTTTAGTTCACTCATAATCGCCAAAAGTGCAGGAACTCAGCGATGAGTAAATTTGTCTCATGGTTTCCTGTGGAAAATCTAAAAATCTGCCAGAAAATGAGGAAGTTGACGAAAATCAGTCTCGGAGTAGTACCACTGAGTGAATCCAATATTTACTTTTCTCAAACTCGGGAATATTTCCCTGGAAAATCCTGGAAAAACATGAGGCAAATTAACTCATCGCTGAGTTCCTGCACTTTTGGCGATTATGAGTGAACTAAACTCAAATTTGAGTTGTTCTCATTCGCCGTGTATAGTTTTCAGTTAAATTACCAATTACACGTAGTGACAGGCTAAGGCTTATCTTTCCTCACATATTATTTTTTCATGGTGAGCATTTTATTATTGCATGCTGCTGAGTGAGTTAAATGTGAATTTTGCAGAAAGAATTACTTTTTATTTTCTAGCTTTAAACAAACATTGACACCGTGATCTGCACACTACGAAAAAGTAGTGTAAATTTCGGTTCCTGAGACCGACACATGTAAACGGCCCTTTTGACATAAGAATCAGCAGAAAGAAACGTTCTCTTCGTCTCGTTGCTAATCTTTCGGTTTGAGAACACATAATTTTACATAAAATGTTTGTTTACGTTCCATGATTTAAGTCCAATATGGATTACGTCTCGTGTAAAAGATGTTATTTCTAAGTGTGTGGAGTTTATAAAAATCATATATGTTTACTTTAAGAATATTAACCTTCGATTGTAAGTTAGACTAAACTTGTGTTTAGTTTGTATTTTGTACGTGTGGGTTCTTTTATATTTTTTTTTTCAAGATGAATAGAAATAAGTTCATGTTTTAGGATCAATTAAATATTTGTATCTTAAATCACATTTCAAACCTTCTTCTCCCTTTTCCCACACACTTAGAAATAACTACTTTTACACGAAACGTAATCCATATTGGACGTTAATTATGGAACGTAAACAAACATTTCATGTAAAATTAAGTGTTCTGAAACTGAAACATAAGCAACTCGACGAAGAGAACGTTTGATTGAATTGATTTTCTCGGTTTCTTTCAACTGATTCTTATGTCAAAAGGGCCGCTTATAGGGTCAATCTCAAGGCACCGAAATTTTCACAATTTTTCGTTGTGTGCATCCAAAATATTTTAATCTCCACTAACCGCGAGACAACCGTGAGTATTCGGTCCAGTTCCTTTAACTTTAACATCACATTAATAATGTATAACGAAAATCAAAACTAGGCTCTGTAAAGTTTATTCGATTGAGCCTGTACAAACAAAGTAATTATTTTAAAAAAAACTTACATTTACATATTCAAATTGCCATTAATATGGAGAAAACTGTTATACTGTAACGCAAAAACAAAAGCGTCACGCAAATACCGTTAAACTGCTGTGGCCAATGGATCATTGAAAATGCTGAGGTTTTGACAGCACCGTACTGTGGCTACCACAGTATTTTACATTGGATCGTCCGTATACAGTAGCGCCAAATGCAAGCCGTGGTGGGTTCAAAACTCAGCCATCTAAAATGATCCATTCAACTGATTTAAATCAGTGAGGCAAAAACTATCTGACTCGGCTATTTAAATCGTTACCATTCGGATTTTACGCATTCAATGTGGATCTCCCTCGGTAGCGAAAATTGTTCGGCTGCCTTTCAGTTTATCCTTCTTTCCTTCTACTGCTGTCAGTTCTGAGTTGACCGGCAGAGTCACTTGGTAGGAAGAATTTACACTCGTTGGGAAATCTGTTTTTTAGGTGAGGATGGCTATCTTGATTCTGTAGTGCTCGCACGAGTGAATGAAATCCCTTGCTTGCTAACAGCTTCAATTAACACGGAAGGGTGCTTCCATCTATTAACGTCCTTTTAAACAAACCACCTTGAGAAGGTGGATATAGTTCATTCAGGACGGTAACACGGAAGGGTGGTTCCTACCGAACGGTATGGAGTTAGCAGATCCTGTATTTTTTACAATGGAGGGACATTGCCGACTACAATCGGCAAACATCTACCAAGCCTTACAGACTCGGTGTTCGGCTAGGTAGTATGTGGTGGTTGTTCAACTCCTAACAATTCCCTACCAATCAAATGCCAAGACAAGATGGGGGGCGGTTTTTAAAATGGCGTTCACTGGACAGAGAGTTCGCATCTTAATCCATGCAATAAGTGTATCTACGAAATGAGCTCAACCAGTAAAAGTTGAAAGTCAATGTTTGTCACTATTTTTAAATCCAATATGGCAGACCGACAATGAAGATGGCGCCCACCTGATCTAAACCAATGTAATATACAGTGGTGGCCTTTAAATTAGCACAATAGGCCGATTTTCATACAAACTAGCCAACTTTGGCATGTTGAAACTATGTTTTGTTATGATCAATTGAGCTGAAATTTTGACAAAGAACTACAGATATGCTGAATTTTGCGTGTACGTAATATCACATTATTGGAAGCGCTTGCTGGAAATTGACGGGCTGGTTAAAAATGGCTAACTACCCGAGTAAAGAATTATACCAGATTGATAACAAGTTCTGATACCCGGTTATCAAATTTCATAACCGAACATGTTATCATTGTGGTTGAATAAACAGCCAACAAAACTTGTTTACAGGATGATATCAGGTTGTTATTTTAGTTTGATTGGGTAATTAACATAATTATAATTCGACATTTTCGAAGTGTAATAGTTTTGACATTTTCAACCATATTGCCAATAAACGATGGCGTGCTTAAAAAAGTTATTTACAATATGGTAAAAAATTTCCGAAATAGTGGACTTTCGAATTATAAATGTGCTAATAAGTTAGCCATTTTCAACCAGCCCGTCAATTTCCGGTAAGCGCTTCCAATAATTTGATATTACGTACACACAAAATTCAGCACATTTGTAGTTCTGTGTCAAAACTTCAGCTAAATTGATCATAACAAAACATAGTTGCAACATGCCAAAGTGGGCTAGTTTGTATGAAAATCGGTCTATCATGCTAATTCAAAGACCCCCACTATATATTTATATAAAAGGGGACCTTTACGGACTGGGCTTGCCGGGAAGAAGCTGAAAATCAATGGCTGCTATTTTGAATTATAAGATGGTGGACCTAGTCTCAACTGTATACTGCAATTGAGCACCCCAAGTAGCATTGTAAGTTTTATCGAGTTTTTAAAAGCATTCTACAAGTCCAAATCATGGTCTACAGAACCTTCATAAAACCCAAATTGTTACTTGGGATGCTTTCAAATTATTTATATTTTACAGATGCTGGTCATATGCTCATGCAATTTATGTTAAATCTAGCATGAGTTTTCCACTTGATTTTTGGAAGTGAAATTACGATTTCACACAAGTTAGTCATGGACTGAATACTTCAGGATTTTTGTGCATCTAATTAAGATCAACTATGTGAATTATTGTTTTATAATTTTTAATAAAAAAAAAATCCTGCCATCACTGACTGCCCACAATCGGTACTACTCAAACTCACTTACCAAGTTCCTGGTGACGGCGTGAGACCGCCTGCATCTTCAACCACTGCAGAGTGTCATTGTTCCGAATAAGCGCGGTTACCGTAACAGACTGGTGATGATGTGATTCCCAAATCGGTTCACCTCGTTTTGCTTTGCGGTGGCATTAATGGCCCGTGGGCTCACCACCAGACTGTAAACCACGACCACCACCGCGTTCCGGTTGACAGCCATTTTCCCACATCCAACCAACAACAGCTACTGCAGTCGAGAAAAGTCCATTGTTTTCGTTCTTTGCGATTTTTGAGTTTAAAGCTTGAGGAAAATGCCACCATCCATCTGATGGTTATGGTTATATATACAAGACGGGGTCGTGACAGGATTTTCAGTTCCGAAGCAAAATCTTACCCGAGAGCAAGTAAATCCCGCATTTCAAAAGTGACTCCGCTGATGGTTTAAGCTAACCACTTCAAGAGGATTGTGTTGTTGTTTGTCCTGTGCAGAAATAGCCTTGAAGTGATTACGTTTCAAAAGAAGAAAAGTGGAACGCATATTTGAGAGCAAAAGCATCCGCGCGGTTGGTGTTTGTTCTGGCGCTGTGAAAAAGGACTTTTTTCTGTGGGTGTGCGATGTGAAAGGAATAAAAAAACACGCTTTGAAGATAGCGATAGACAGCGAAGAAAAAACAGTGATTTAATATTAATAGGGTGTCCTCAAGCAAACAAAAAAAAAACACAGCTGCCCGTGGGAAGATGATTCTATCGCATATAAATGTACTTGGGTTTGCCAGCTCCTGGCTGGTGATGATGCACTGCGTTCTTTACGAAAGGGCGTCCGGTGCCGAGTTGGAAACATTTGATTACTGCATCCGGGCGACTCCGTCCGCAGGATTGCTGCAATGTGCCGGACAGCAGGCACTGGCGTCGTTGCAGTTTCTGGAGGAAGCCAACAATCTGACCCTGGCCAGTGGGGTGCTGATGATCAAGGATGATAGCAATCCAGCAGCAAGGATTTTGCCCAACTTTCTGGACCAGGATCCAATGGATTTTCGGTAGGTTCACGGGAATTGGATTTTTCTTTTGTGTCAATATAGTAACACGGGCAATTTTATCCTTTTCTAGTTCATTTTTTACGATCATTTCTTTTCGGGATTAGGGTTAGTTGAGTCTTCAGTGGAATATCGTGGATGTATAAAGATACAGGATTACTATCAACGGTGTGTATAGGTTAAGTGAAAGTTTAGAATCAGCCTAATGCTAGTGCTAGTGCTGCAAAATCTCGACTATACATGGTGATATTCAAAATTTTGCTTTGGTCACTCATTTGAGCTAACAGTTATTGTCAAGGCAAACCATGTAAATTGTCAGTGACAATGCTGTCAGTGACGAACATGTGCAGATTCTTTAATTAGCTAAACTTGTAACGAAATTGAATGACTTGAGCAAAAAACTTACATGGAGCCGTTAAAGTGAACGTGGATGCACTTGTATGACAAACTATGAGCATGAGCCAAGTACAACTGTAATCTGGGGGATACTGGAATTCTGCCGTATCGTGCTGGAGTCACTACCGGAAGACTTCGAGATCGGAGAACCTCCACTCAAGACGATCAAACTGTGATGCAAAATTTGAAATTTTCGCTCCACAATACTTAAACGATTCCCAATCGGATCCTGACTAACCTCTCAAAATTTGAACCCATTTGGTGAGAAACTGAGATGGCACAAACCATTTGAAGTTTGTATGGGAATTTCTATGGTAAAAACAAGATTTTTGTTCATGTCTATCTAATAATTCACCACATAGGTCTGCTTCAAAAACTTTCATTTGTACTTGTAGGAAATTTTCCCAGCTACAACTCTGCTCAAGACCACTTTTTGATTAAATACAAGGATCGAAAGTTATCAATGGTTCAATGCGCTGATGTCTTATGATCATGCTCAATCAACTGCTCAGCAGCCAACATTGATGTTTCTGAGGCGTTGAATAGGACACACAAATCATGGCTACTATGTCACACTGCAAAATACAGCGTAACCTACAGAGCAGCTGCTTGATCATGTCATTAATGATTAATAATTTTTTCCTGACTCGTTTTACATAGAAACGATCTTCAGCAAAGTTGTAGCTGAGAAAATTTTCTATAAGAATGGCTATTGAACTGTTTCGCAACTCAATATGGAAAAAGACTAGAAGGCAATGAACAAAAAGTTGAGATTTCCCATAGTAATTTACATGTAAACTTCAAATGGCTTGTGCGAAGTCTATTTCTAACCAAATGAGTCGTAGCTTTGGGAGGCTAATCAGGACCCGATTTGAAAACCATTTAAGTACTGTGGAGTGAAAAGTCAAATTTTGCATCAGTCTACTGTTCAAGGATCTGGGGCGAAAGGTTTTGGTGTTTCAGAACAGTTTTATCGAAGTTGGGAAGGGGGTGGCATCGTTCCGGAAGCTAATTGAAAAAATGACCATGAAGGGACTGCTACTGGTGATAATGCCAATTCAGAATGTGATTAGGGAGATTCGTGACCGAGCTGAAATCACAGTCGAAGGAGGTTAAGTGGAATTGTAAGATGTTGATTGGTCAGCTGTTGGGCTTGAAGGTGAGCTCCTGAAAGTCGACATCGGTGAGTTGGTTGAGGGATAGGTTGAGCTCTCGGACACGACCCTGGTAACCCACACAGATAAAAATTCTGAATGTTAATTGTGATGTAAACATTCATTCACGTAAACTTAAATTTAATTTCACACAACCGAGCAACTTGTAAACAATATTGTTTACAAAGATGGGCTTTTGTATACAATATTTGCTACATTGCATGAATTGTGCTAGAACTTTACATGATATATAATGTAAACTTATATGAAATATGACGCTCCATTTGTGTGCATCATATTGAACAGAAATTTACACTACTTTTCGAACTGTGCAGTACTTGAAATAGAATATTAATAGGCTTGGCGGAGAAGAAGTCCCGGCGAAGTGTAAAGGAACCGGTGTTTTCCATGGTGCCCAGCGATTTGAGCAGTTCGGTAAGCATAATCCTCGTAGAACTGATTCAATCGCAGTTCTTCAAACTCTATAAGGTACGAATTTATTATGGAATCCGAGCCGTATAAAAGGTCGTAAGGGGATCGGTGTCCATACAAAGGCCACCATCTGGCCGTAGTAGTTTTATCAGTGATCGTTTACCATGTTTGATTCCGTAACGCTTCACCACTTCGTTGATCAGCCAATCGACATTCAGTTCCATGATTCGTTCCTCGTCGTAACTGACATCGATGAATTCGCCTTCGAAGATCACTCGGACCATGTTCGGAGTTGAAATCTTCACCGGTGTTTGGTTTCCTATCATCGACAGCGCCTCAGCTTTACAGGTGTTCTCTGGCCAGCATTGCTTTTCACCAGACACATCATACTTCTCTCCATTTGTCCGATCATTGAACTTGCTAACCGAGTGGACATATTAAACCTGGAAGGTTCCGGTTGAAACTCCCTTCTAGAAAGCTGGCGATGCATCTTTGACTGAGTCGATGGCTTTTGGGAGCAGTCTTGTAACCGGTCAAGGTAGTCGACACATTTTCTGTGATAATCGACTGCCTTTGCTTCCGACACTTGCAAAACAAACTATCAAATTACAGTACCAAAGTAAAATGTCATATGACAGGCTCTATCATACGACACTGTCACCAAAGACTGTCACGAATGTATGTATTTTAGGTTTTGCTTATAATAAGAGCTGCTGATGTTGTGCTTGTAGGAGTTCTGAAAATAACAAGCAACGATGTCCTAGTAATAACATTTCTGATCAGCAATGGTTTAATTTACACCAAATCAAGAAATTAGAACGAAATAATTACACATGTCATACGATAGTTATTTGATAATTTTCTTTTCGATCGAAAATTGTACTACCGTTTGAGTTGTGTAAGAGAGACGACGGTAGAGAATGAGAGTACAAATACACTGGAGTCGCTTTTTACGCGAGTGATACGTCCCGCGTAAAAAAAAACCGCGTAAATTCCGGAATCCGCGTAAAAAATAACCGCGTAAAAAAAGACCGTGTAAGAAAAAACCGCGTAAAAAGCGATATACCGCGTCAATTCTGAAATCCGCGTAAAAAAAACCAAAATCCGCGTAAAAAAAACCGCGTAAATTCCGGAATCCGCGTAAAAAAAACCGCGTAAATTCCGAAATCCGCGTAAAAAAAACCGCGTAAAAAAAATCGGTAAAAAAAACCGCGTAAAAAGCGACTCCAGTGTACAAACAGACTGCCTCGCACGACAACGAAGCGAGTTAGTAAAAAGCGTCAACAGTTTCAACCCCTGTTCGGGAGAAACTAGAATCTCCTCCCGGAAGCGTTCATCAGAATCTGAAGAGCATCTGGACCAGTTTCCTCTGATGTTGCACACTTGCTTCATCTACTTACCACCGTCTCGTGTGGTTCATCTGAGTCCTCAGCATACTCCAATCCAGTAGAAGTTATTGTCCTGTAGGAAATTGGAAGTGCCTCCAGTGGAGAACGTTCTCGCTCGAAGCTTCGATTCGGTGGCCGAGGCCGAGACCGTTGCCTATTAGGTTCAGTGCAGTCCTTTTCCGAGAGAATTTGGGAGCAACGAACCGAGAGTAACGTTAGGATCTGGGATAGAATTTCACTGCTTGTTGTTTTGTTTCTTCAAAACAAGATATGTGAACTGTCAAATTAACCGGATTGTCAAACATACCGTTATGCAAACAAAAAATCAGTCTGATTAAAGAGACTGAATTGGTCACAGGTCTTCTGCTCGATTGGAATAACTTTTCCTATGACACATAATCGATTGTTCCAATTTTGGACAAGTCGTCTCTTTATAAATTCAGCCTTTTTAAGTCTGATGACACTCTCGGCACTGCCGGCACAGATGCGTCTCACGTGAGGTACACTGAGAAAAAAGTTTGCGCAAAATAAGTGTGTAGAGCAACTCGGGGGCAACTTAACAGCTCTAGTATATTGCCAGTGTACCCCGACAATTTGGTGCTGGTGGTTCTGTTAAACTCACAAACTTCAGAAGTGTTATCTGAAAAGAGAAAATATGGAAATGATGTACAGTAAACAAAATTTGAAGTTTAAAATTTTTGTTATTGTCACGCGCTCATCAAACCGCACGCGCAACGTTAGCGATATAGAACTCCAGTGATGCTAGCTAAAAATTTCGCTTTATTTCTCAGTAGTCTGCACAATACATGAAACTTTGTTTTGTGTGTGTACCGTATGTATCTGAGCAGTATAGAACCAAAAGCATAAACATATGATTTTTAAAACGAAAATATATGATTGTCATCGAATTAATTGGAACAAATGAGAATTGAACAAGGATACTTTCAGTGTTTTCAACGCTATTGCTATTATCGTCGATGATGAACAAAGAAAGAATGATTTTTCAGCCAAGCAAGAGTGTACTAATTATACGCAGCTAGTACTGCATAATGTTCAATTTTATGTACTAGAATAAAAGAGAACAAGGTTAGTACAACCATAGAGGTAACTCTAAGACTAGTAGGTACCAAAGAAACGTGCTCAACTTTTTGGCTCAGTTCTGGTACTCTCTTCGGTCCCAAGCTAATCGATGCACCCCTCGAAACATAGGAAATTCCACTAATCCCTTATTTTATCTGTCAAACTTTCATAGCGAATCAAAACAAAAACTGTAGTACTAGAATTTCGACTGGAATGGGGTACGTTAATCGATTTGCTTGGGACCAATAGGCTAGTCAAGCAGTGAGCCAATTTAAAATCATCAGTTGCCACCGGTTGGTACTACCAACAATCAATACAAAACTATCGATTATAAATTGGCTCACTACTTGACTAGCCTATTGGTCCCAAGCAAATCGATTAACGTACACCGTTTCAGTCGAAATTCTAGTACTATAATATGTTTGTTTTGATTCGCCATTAAAGTTTGACAGATAAAATTAGGGATTCATGGATTTTCCTATGTTTCGAGGGGTGCATCGATTAGTTTGGGACCGAAGATATAACCAGAGCTGAGCCAAAAAGTTGAGTTTCT